GTCGAATTCTCAAGACTGCTTCCTGCTGACGTGGGGGGCATTGACCATCTTTGGGGGCCCTGAGCAGGTTGGGGTGCTGCCACGTCCTGGGGTAGCTGGTTGTTTCATTGCAGTCCAGGCTGTATGGAACTCCCTGGCACCTCTTAGACCTGGCAAGATGTTGGCAGAGCAGAGGACAAGGGTAAGTTTAGAAAAAATTTTCTTAGGTCCTGTCACTTGAGAGGAAGATTGTAAGATGAGGGAGGGGTTCCCAAGGAGTCCCAACATGAGGGAAGGGAGTCCTGGGACCAGGGGAGGATTGAATAACTGGAGTGAATCTGACCTGTTTGTTTGGATCCATTTCAGCTCCCTGGAACTTAGAAGAATCCTTAGAGTTTGTGGAAACATAAGCATTAGACACATTAGCAGCATATTCATGTTAGAAGCAACTTGGCTGAAAGCATTACCATTTTAAAATTGAAAGATATTTTTTAGGACAATGAAAAGCACCCTACTCTTGACCTTGTAGTTATGATCGTATAGTGGTATTGTAGAACTTTACTATGAACAGTAGCATGAGAACTAGAGAAATCAGAAACATATTTTCATTCTTTTTAATGTTGCAACTCACTTTATCATCACTTAAGCCTTTTTATCCTCAGACCTTCGTAACTTTAATTCATACACCTTACACTAGGAATTGAACCCAGGACCTCTAGAAGAGCAGCCGTCTCTCACTGAGCCATCTCTCCATCCCTTGTTTGTTGCTGTTTTTAAATGTTGAGTTTTCATAGTGTTTTCTTTTTTTCCCCATCTGTAGCCACCCTGTTTTGTTACTCTTTCATGTAAGTGTTTATTTGTTTGTCTTGGTTTCTTATTTTGAAGAACTGTCATTTCTTGTTGTTTTGGGAATTTGTGCTATGAGGATCATATCAGAACTCTTAGCCAAACCCAAGAACAGGCTTTTCCTACTGTTTGCTTCCAAAAGTCTTTTGAGTCATTTCTGCATGAGGAATGAGGGTGGCCCTGGCTTTGGTTTGGGGCGATTGTAAAAGTCAGCTCTGCTGACTGGCTCACACCAGTGTAACCACCTGGGATGAGCTGGTCTGTCTGTCTGTACCATGTGGTCTTGATGACTGCAGTGCTACGGTAAGTCTTCGAGCGGGGATTGGCATTTTTCTTAACTCATGGGCTCCTGTTTTCCTGCTCACAATTAGGAACTAGTGTTCACTTTCTGATTCTGTATTCTGAGGGGTGTTGTATACATCTAGTCTGTGAAGTAGGTAGGAATCCCCTTCTCCAGGCCTGGCTGCAGCTCTGACCTGTTTAGATCAGCATGGGATCTGCCCTCCCTCTCTCCTTCTCTCCCTTGCCTTCTTTTGCAGGGCCTCTTCTCAGCTAAATACACTCTACCACTAAGCTACACCCAAAGTGCTTTTTTTCTTTTTTGTTTTTGTTGTTGTTGTTTTGTTTGTTTTTAACACAGGGTCTCATGAGGCCGACCTCAATCTTGCTATGTAGCTGAGGATGACCTTGAACTTCTGATCCTCCTGTCTCTGCCAAGTACTAGGATTATAGGCATGAGCCACCATGCCCAGCCTCCTCCTCCTTTTAAATGTGCTTATACCTGGAGTATGAGGTGATATTTTGCAGTCATTTTTAGTGTGCTATTCACATTATTCAACCATCACTATCATCCTCTCCACAGAAATTCCTGAGATCTTCCCAAACTGACACAGACTCCCCACTTACAATATCCACATTTTGCCTCTTGGTTCCATATGGTTTGCACCCAGGAACCCGACAAAAGTGAAATCTCACAGGTTTGACCTTCCGTACTTGGTTCATCTCACTCACTCAGCACAGCACAGAGCCCTTCTTGGAGAGTTGGGTCCCTGTGTGTCTGCCACCCAGACTTGGTACTGCTGGGCCTCAGAGGCTAGCTGGCCTCCTGGGTGACCATGTTGAGAGCCCTGGAATGTAACCCACATATCATGTGACCACCAGTATCCAGTTTGCTTCCCTGGTGTAACCTAAGGAGGATGGATTACTGATCCTGGAGAGAGGAGCAGTGCTGGATGTCTGTGGGGCACCATTATAACAAATCTTTCTGCTGTCTGGGAAGTGACCGCACTTCAGCAAGTGGTTAGTCAGCTCTTCATAGGACAGCTAAGTATGTCTCACATGCTCTCTCCCTAGGATGCTCAGTCCTAGAAACCAGAGTCTTCTCACCTGGCCTGGGGAATGTGAAAGTGGCATTGATACCACTGGGGCCAGTCCTGGATGACTGAAGTCTGCTGTACCTGAGACGGGGATGCAGGCAACTTCGTTTGACCACAGGATCTCTCCTCAGCTCACAGTCATCTCTCTGTGTGGGGGTGGGGAGGGGACAAGGACAACTGACTCCCAGCACACCTGGAACAGTACCAGTCCTAACCTTTGCGAGTGAGTCTCTGGAGTTTCCCTTAACAACTAGCTGCATCTTAATGCTGTAGCCTAGGTGGTGACCATAGCCACCCCGTGGAGACCCGGGGAAGGGGCGGAGGCACCCAGAGGAGTTCAGAGCACCTTTTTCTATGAGCTCAGGCTCAGTTTAGGGTATTTTTAGCTGGCAGCATCCAGCACTTGGCAGGGCAGAAATAGAAGAGGTTTTTTGGGGCTCTGGGCTGACAGTCTCTGGCTCTTGGGGAGCCAGGCTGGGGAGGGGTGTTCATGTGGAGCACAACTTCTGCTGTTGAGAAAAACATCTCAAGAGAGCGCTGGCTGCGGATGGAGAATTATTTCTGTTGGTGAACACTCTTTATGTAAATGCCACGCACAGCGCACAGCGTTGGCGCTGCTCGTTTGCATGTGTAATCACAGCAGGCGGGGCAGGGGGGGGCGGGGGGCGGATAATTATGTTTTAAAATACCATCCGGATTGTTTGATGTGTTCCCTCAGTCTCTGGGTAATTCCGGACTCTAACGATTCTCCATTGCCCCGTTGGTTGGGAAATGCCACCTGGCCAGCCTGACCACCAGTTGGTACCAGGCAGGGGTCTGCGTCTGAGCAGCTTCCATTTTCCTGGCTTCTGTCTTCACTGAATGTCTACTGACTCCGGGACTCCCTCAGACGAAGAAGGTGGGATTGTGCTTACCCTGAGCTGCAGCAAAAGTAGTGAGCTTGAGGCACCCTGGAGACTCTGTTCTGTGACTCCAGACACTGGGGACAAGGCTGAGCTACAGATAGGCTTCCCACCTTCTCTGCCTGAACCCCTTCTGCACTCTCCTGTAGTGATTCACTGTCCTGTAGGGTGTGGGTGGTCACTTCAGAACACAGATGTTGGCCCTTGGGGATGAGTGCCCCAACACCTCCCTCAGGAGCAGGATGTCAAGATGACTTGCAAGTCCTTCCTATGCAGGGCCCTCTCTTGCCATCTGCCTTCATGGGGCCCCTACACAGTGGGCCCCTGCTGAGAAGTGTTTTGAGTCCCTACTGTGCAGTCATTGTGAGGAGGGACAGGGAACCAGCCCATCTGGAACAACCAGGTGCACCTGTGTCAGATCTAGGAGTTGCCTCAGAGCAAGACCTAAGTCTGAGCCACCTGCATTGAGCCTGCCAGACTCTAAGCTTGTGGGGCCAACAGGTTCTAGCTGTCTTAGGGCCAAGTCCTACCTGCACCACACAGATACAGACATGACACATACATTCATAGATACAGACACAAACAGATACACAGACACACATGCATAAACGTGTATAGACACATACATAATACACACAAATGTAGAAACACAACAGCAGGGAACAGCTGGCTTGGGACAGGTCTCCCTCTCAGGACCTAACCTGTGTTCTGGGAACACAGGAGAGAGTGATATGACACTTGTGGCCTCTGTCTGAGTAGGCTGGCTGTATGTGTTACTATCAATCTCTGTAGCCTATGAGAGCATGGGCCAAGGACTAACTAAAAGACTAGCCCAAGTGCAAGGCCTCCTGGGAAAGGGAGCTGGAGAGGCAGAGGGGGAATGGAGGGACTGAGACAAGACTGCAGGTTTGGGGTTAGGACCACAGGTCCTCCTCAGCCTTGTAGTGCATAGGGTGCCCAGCAGATAGCCCTCATTAAGGAGCCTTGACCCAAGCCTTCTGTGACTTGTAAGAAGCTGTTCTTGCCTGTTGGATGCTGATGCTGGCTAACTTGTGTCCTACACTCTGTGGAGCACACTCATACCCGTGGGCCACCTTTGTGGGCCAGTGTCATGGGTACAACCTCAGAGCTGCAGGTACAGAGGAGCTCTTGGACCCAACTGCCTGTTCCAGAAGTGGTTTGCCAGAACATTCCCAGACAGCAGGGATGCCAGCCTGCCTGGCTTTGCTGCTGACAAATATTTAGGAGCACTTTTTTGTGCCAGGCCAAAATAGCTCAAGGGGCTATATCCCCGAATGTGCTAAGACACCCATATACTTACCTATCAAGTAGGACTAATCATGTCTGGTTACCTCTTGCATAAAGCCCCTTTGAGGAGAGCCTGGGATCCTGTTGTGTTTCTTTGCCTGTCTTCTTCCATGGGTTTTCCTGACAGCAGAACTGGCAGCTTCACTCTCTGAAAGGTGCAGGCCACTGAGTTCAAACTCCACCTGCAGCTTCAACATCTCTGGCCAGGCTATCCTGTAGCCTGCTTCCAACACATGCGTCCTGGCTTCCCCTTCAGCACGCCTTTCCACCTAACCCATAACCCATTAGGTAGACACTTCGGGGAACCACCTCTCACCCTGGGCAGCCTGTTGTCAGGCCTAGGCAGGCATTCCTTACTGGCTGTCTTCCCATTCATGCTATCAGACATCTTTGTAGGACAGGGCTGGATGTGGAGGTGGACATGCTGCGTGTACAGTGTGGAGGGCTGGCTGGCATGAGTTCAGGTTAGCCCCAGACTGATGCAGAATGTTTCTTCTAACCTGGGCCTTAGGGAATGTGGTGGGCAGGCACAGAGCAGCCCAGGGCCATCCACAGACTCCCACCTAATTGGGTTAGTTCTTTGCCTTAGTGCAAGAGAAGCCAGAGCCGGTGCCCCTGGAAAGCCGCTCCTGTGTCCTCATCCGTCGAGACCTGGTGGCACTGCCTGCCAGCCTCATCAGCCAGATTGGGTACCGCTGCCACCCAAAGCTCTACTCGGAGGGTGATCCTGGAGAGAAACTGGAGCTTGTAGCAGGTGAGGCAGCCCCACCCATCATCATCACTGTATGCAAATGTCCTATCCATTATTTTTCAGAGCTATGAACAATGTACTCATCACCAATCAGTCAAAAGGAAAGAAAGAAAAAAAAGGAACATCTTAAATTTCCTCTAATTTCCTTTTAGAAGAAAGTGTCATTAAGAGGAGTTATTCAATTGAATTAATTTAGCATTTTAATTGAGTCCCCTAAGCTGGCCAGGCTCCTGATTGGCAGGGGCTATGTACATGATGCATTTTAATTTAGGTCACAGGTAGAATCGAGCTGCATAGTTTACCAGTGTCCCTCCTGTCCCACTGTCCAGTTGTAGTATCTGAATGGCAACTCACAGAGCAGGGTGGAGTCCAGAAGCCCTCAAGGTCAGTGCCTTTTGAGAAACATCATCCCTTTAGTCTTGGTGTCCTTGCATGTATTCAACAAGGTCCAAGTGGGTGGCACACCATTGGCCCCACACACTGTTTGCTTTAATTGCCTTTTTGATTGTTTGTTTGAGACAACTCTCTCTATGTAGACCAGGCTGACATCAAACTCGCAGAGATTCTCTTGCCTCTGTCTCTGGAGTGATGGGATTAAAGGTATAAACCACCATGTCTGGTCTTTTAATTGCTCTTTTCGTTTGCAAGCAAGTTGGACAGGTTCCTCAGTTCTGCGTCTAAGCCCTGCCTCCCTGAGCCAGCCTCTCCTGTTTCTACTCGACACCCCCTACTGCCACATCCTGGGCAGCTCTTGAGGTCTACTCTCTCAATAGAACAGAAACTCCAGATTCTGTCCAATTGTCCCCCTCTCCTGGAAACCACTTAAAAGGTTTAGCTCATGGTTCATCAGAAATAAGATGAGCAGCCAGACGTGGTGGCATATGCCTTTGATCCCAGCATTTGGAGGACAGAGGCAGGTGGATCTCTTGAGTTCAAGGCCAGTCTGGTCTACAAAGTGAGTTCCAGAGCAGCCAGAGCTGTACAGAGAAACCCTGTCTCAGAAAACAACAAAGCCAGGTGAGGGAGACCCACATAAGTCGGGATTCATTATTAGAGCCACCATTTGGTGTTTCACCTGTGCCATCCTCTGAAGTTAAATGATGGGCTCTTCCCCTGTGGCAATGCCATGTAAACAAGAGCTTCACTGATTTGCTCCTCTGGTCCTCACAGGTTCTGTCCTCTGCTCACCCATATCCTACAGGGACTCCTGAGACATTACCAACTTTCTTTGGGGTCTATCCCTGAGAGTGGTCTCCCTGTTCACACCTGCACTAGATCTTCCCTGAACACATGAGGTAGAGAGACCAGTGCTGGGCCAGTGGAAGCCTCAGTTAGACTCTCCAGACCACTATCCATCTCTGCCAAATTTTCCCGATGCTCTTTGGTATTTAAAAAGAGACAAGGTAGAAAGGCAAAGCCAGAGCTAGCTCCAGAAAGTTCCTAAGGAAGTGGCAAGGGCTGGGGTAGTCTCTCTCATCTTGCCCACAATAAAGGAAGCTGGAGATCTGGGTGGTGGTGGTGCACACCTTTAATCCCAGGACTCTGGAGGCAGAGGAAGATCTCTGTGAGTCTGAGGCCAGTCTGATCCACAAAGCGAGTTCCAGAAGAGCCAGAGCTTTTATACAGAGAAACCCTGTCTTGGGCGGCGGTGGTGGCAGTGGTGGTGGTGGTGGTGGTGGTGGTAATGGTGGGAAGCTGGGGGTTTAGGAGATATTGAAGTATGGGGCTTGTCACAGCACCCCCAAACCTGCTGGGTTTCAGTTGAGGATGGCAGAATGATAGGAAGGGCTTGACTTTAGCATCCTCCAGCCCTAGCATCTTCCAGCAGGTGAGAACTGAGACTGCTTTTGTCCTAGAGGCCCCACCTCACCCTCGGCCCCTCTCCCGGCTTCCCTGCAGTCTTTTGTGACCCTGGCATCCCCTTAGAGAGGGCATGAGCCCAGGTTAGGTTTATACGGTTAAATACCTCATGCGTTGATGTTTACTGGCTTTAGGTTCCGGGGTCTACATCACACGTGGCCAGCTCATGAACTGCCACCTGTGCGCAGGGGTGAAGCACAAGGTCCTGCTGCGGAGGCTGCTGGCCACCTTCTTTGACAGGTAGGTGTGTAGGGACAGCAGAAGATTCTAGAGTTTCCTGTAACTGTGAGCTGTCTGGTCATCAAAGGGTTGAGCCTTTTCCTGACACTAATGTGGACACTTGGCCTGGAGATGCCCTGGGAATGCTCCGGGAAGATAGCACATCCTCTTGTTCCAGGGCTCAGTCTAGAGAAAACTGGCTATGTCTCCCTCCACCCACCCACCCCCCAGAAGCGAAAAGCCGCAAGTACACTGCCATGTGCACGGGTCAGCAGGGCCCCTTCCCCAAGGAAGAACAACTCACGCAGGTGGCTCAGGGTTTCCCATGACAGTACCTGCGCTGGTCACTCAGGTTGCCCACTCAGCCGGGAGTGCTGTCCCTTAGAGAAAGACTGGGCCTTCTCCCCACATTGGCTATGACTCAAGGGAGACACAGGGTGGGTGTGGTGATTTGGGTTCTTTCACCTGGTGTGTGGGTAGGGAACCCTGTTCCTTAGGTCACTTCTGAACCAGCCTGCCTCCTTTCTGTTTCTCCTCCAGGAACACACTGGCCAATAGCTGTGGCACTGGCATACGCTCGTCTACCAGTGACCCCAGCCGAAAGCCACTGGACAGCCGAGTCCTGAATGCTGTGAAATGTGAGTGGGTGGTGCGGGGTCACCTGGTCTGGGAATCCCATCTGGAATTGAGATCCCAGCCTGAGGCAGGCTAAGTTAGGCCCCGGGTTATTCTGGGCCACCGGCTCCTGTCCTGAGTGCTTGCTTTGGCCTGCAGCACTAGGACCAGGAGGGAGAAAAGAGCAGCAAGCAAAACCGTCTCGAGGTGTTAACGTCCTTGGTAGGTTTCCAAGTGTGATGAATTCAGCTGCGAAACTATTTTAATATGTGAAATAGATCTAATTTTCCTTTTTGAACAAAACCCCTTATTTACATGTTGAGGTTATTTTGAGCCTTTGCCATCTGTTCGGCCGGCTTCTGCCTCCCGCTCCTGCGTGGTGGGGCGGAGCCCAGTCCATCTCTGTGGCAAGCCACCGCCCAGCCCTGTACCCTCAGATGCAGAAGAAGCTGTGCCACCCAACACACACAGACTGGTCCAGAGCACAGCCGCCTGTGGAAGAAATGTCTTATTGTCTTGCTTAGAAATTCCCTTTGTGATACTAATTCAGTGTTATAGAAGGAGGGTCTTAGCAATGGGTAATTGGGAGGAACAGACTGACAGTAGAACCCAGAGATGCTAGAAGGTCGTGAAGCTGAGCTCTCAGGGACCTGTCCCTGCTCTGTGGGGACCTGGGCCTGACCTTGGTCTCCAGTTCCTGGTAGGTTTTTGTTTTGCTTAGTTGATGATATCATCCTCCTTGTTTGCTGTGTCTGAAACCAGGGAGGGTGTTGGGAAGGTAAGTCCCCATGTGGGGAAGACCCTCTACCTGTCCCAGTTTGTAGGTGGAGGTGGGCACCCAAGCTGACTAATCTTACTGTCATACACACCTTCCCAAGGAGTCACAAGGGAATCCTGGGCCTAGGAAAGAGAGAGTGACTTCTGGACTGATACTTTAAATCAAAGGATCTCAGTGAGAACCAAGATTGCAGACAGTCCAGCCCTGGGCGCCTCGATTCTGTAGACACTTGGTCAGCAGTGGGCCAAGCAATGAGGGGCGAGGCTACTCTTACACCACCTCCTCCTCCTCCTTCTCACTGCAGTGTACTGTCAGAACTTCGCCCCCAGCTTCAAGGAGAGCGAGATGAACGTGATCGCTGCAGACATGTGTACCAATGCTCGCCGTGTCCGAAAGCGCTGGCTGCCCAAGATCAAGTCCATGCTGCCAGAGGGTGTGGAGATGTACCGTACCGTCATGGGTGCCTCAGCCGCCAGCCTGCCCCTGGACCCTGAGTTCCCACCTGCTGCTTCACAGGTGTTTGAGCAGCGCATCTATGCTGAGCAGCGACGAAGTGATGCAGCCACCATTGTGGCTCTGAGAACTGATGCTGTGAACGTCGATCTGAGCACCTCAGCCAACCCTGCCTTTGAGGCTAGTGAGGAGGTGGATGGGGCAGGCTCGGTTATCCAGGAGGTGGCTGCCCCTGAGCCACTGCCTGCTGATGGCCAGAGCCCCCCTCAGGCCTTTGAGCAGGGCAACACCAGCTCCAGTAGGCCTCAGACACCAGTGGCCACAGCAACAAGAAGGCCAGAGGGCACCTATGCAGGGACCTTGTAAGGGGCCGGCAAGGCCGACTCACAAGGGACCGAGTACTAAAGCTGCTTGCATGCGTTACTAATACAAACAAATGTGATCAAGCCACTTACCTACTGAACTGCTACTGCTGCCTGACAAAAATGTGATTTTTATTCTGCCTGTATTTAAAATGGATGAAGGAAACAAACGCATTCATTATACTGTAAACATTTAGGCCGCTGGCCACACTCTGGGAGGAAGGTCCCAGGGCGACTTTTTGATATTCCTCAGCTCAGTCTCCCATGGTAGTGCTCTCCTCCCCCTTCTTGGGGAGGTAGAAGAGGCCACCAAGTCTTGGTGTCCGGCCCCAACTCTGCCTCATCTACCCTTCCTATTCCTCCTGCTCTGAAAGCGGAAGCTGGGGTAGTAGTGGCCTGTGGGTGGAGAGGCAGATATGACACTCCATTTCTTACCCATAAGGACCCCAGTGGGGCAGTGCTGGGCCCCCAGAGGCCAGATTTCTCTTGTTTTCCTTCCTCCCAAGAAGCCATGTGTGTGTGTGTGTGTGTGTGTGTGTGTGTGTGTGAGAGAGAGAGAGAGAGAGAGAGAGAGAGAGAGAGAGAGAGAGAGAGAATATGATAGAGTGAGGGTGTATGCATGTACGTGTGTGCAGAGACCAATGATGGCCCTGCAGCAGTGGCTGTGGCTGGTCACCTGGGGGTGGGGGAAGGACAAGGTGTTCTCCCCATACCCTGTTCTCACTCTGCTCCACCCAGACCCCCAGCGGCTGGCCTGCTGACCCCCCCAGGGTCTCCATGCCCCTGGCCATGGCTGCCATCACCACCCTCTGCCTCCCCAGCCACTCTGGGATTTTGCTTGTTTGCTTGTTTAGTTCAGATCTATTTTGTTTGTGGTTTGGAGACTTTCCTTCCAACAGAGGGAAAAAAAAATCAGTGAGGGACTAATGTCCCTGTCCCCAGTCTACCACAGATTTGGGTGAATACAGGCCCATGGACCCCCAGCTTGGCCTCCATTGGAGGCAGAGGGGGCCCAGGAAAGAACAGCTAGCCATATACAGCCAGGCTCAGCACCTGTGGGCCTAGCTAGCAGGACTCTGCTGCCTGGGGTGCGCTTATTGCTTACTGTGGGTACCTGTGTAGTTGGCAGCAGGCACAGGCCTGGGCTGGAGTAGTAGGCAAGTGTGGATCTCATTGGGGACCAGAAAGTTAGAAAATCATGAGGGTGGTACCTGATGGAGGGGCTTTGAGGACAGCTGGCTGGCTTGAAGCTGTGTGGGATATACTCCTGAGGCCACTTACCCAAATGTCTCTTCTTGGACTCTTGTCCAGAGAATGCCTGCTTACCGGCAAAGCCAAGCAGCTCCTGAAGTGCCCAAGGACACCTACGATTCCAAACTTGAAAGGTCTAATGTTCCCTGTCCCTCTATATATCTTTAATTTGCTGCCCTATGATATCCTCCCTGTGTGCCCACAGGTTGGGCAGTCTTTCCCCATCTGGAGGGCCATGGTAGGAGAGCCTGAGGTGCAATTTAGACTCCTTCTGTGCCCCCCCTTTTGCTGGCACTTCCCTGCCTTGGAGTGGCCTCACAGGTATCCCCCATACTGTGCTAACTATAAGTACATGTCTTCCTCCTCTTCTGAAAGACCTGTGGTCAGGGAAAGGGACATCATGGCAGGCACCATGGGAACTGACCTGAGCCCCTCTCCCTGCTCCTTGGTAACCCAAGGCCTGCATTCCTGGGGCAAGTACAGAGGCTAGCTAATATCCAACTCTGGAACTAGCCACCCGGAGATGGATCTCTCACCTCTCCCATTCCCATCTTAGTCCTAGGTAGGTTGCAGCCCCAGCCAGCCATTTAGTGACTTGGACCAAACCCTCCTGGTGCTGGGAGAAGACCATAGAACTGTGGAGGGTATGGCAGGATTGGGGGGCGGGGGGCTGTGCCCTTTGCCTCTGGAATCTTCCTTCATCTTTCCCCACCCGAATCTGCACTTTAATTTGACCACCCCTGGGGACCTTTGGGAGACAGACCCACCTATTTTGGCTGGTGGCAGAAGGGCTCTCTCTCATCCCTCCACTCCAAGATGGGCCTGGTCCCCACCCTGGGCCAGCATAGGGAGGGTGTCACTGGCCAATGGAGGAGTCAGTGGCCTCACAGAATGTCTGACCACTGCTCGGGCTAGCACAATGTCCTCAACCTCTGTCCCTTAATGTTTATAATTGCCATCTGTTTCGTTCTAGGTAAGGAAGGCAAGAGCTATAGGTAAAACTTCAATAATATTAATTAAATGTGAATGGATTCTGAGCTCTCCCTGTGCCCCAGGTGGGCCAGGCAGAGCGTTTTGCACTAATGTGTCCCATGGTGGACGTGGTGGGGAGCGTTTGCAGACATGCATGGCCAATGACTGTACCTGCTGGGGGGGCACTCCCTCTGCATCCTGAATGTACTGCGAGGCAGGCGGGTGGCAGGCCTGGGCTCCGAGGGGCCTTCCAGAGTGCCTTAGCATCTTTTGATTATTTTTTCCAAGGAAAACCAATTTAAAAAACCAGACTCCCCCTCCTTTGTTTACAAGATGACTAATTCCAGAATCGGGGCTGTCTTGTCCTGCCACGTGACCCTGACTTGTCCAGACCCTATAAATGAGATCCTCTCAGTATTCGTCGGATGTCTGCACCTCTGTTCCTAGCTTGACTACTAGCAATATGCATATACTATGTAGAGTCTATTGTAGAAACTTGCTACATCAGCATCTTTGCCATGAGGACAGTTGGGACCGGATTGTGTTGGAGCTTCTGGAGCAGGGCTGGATCGAGCCATCACTCTTCTGCCCTCCCCAAGCAAACAACCGTCCTGGAGGCAGCCAGGACCAAGTACAGTGGGTCCAGGGCAAGGGACCAGAGACAGGGCTGATACTGTGAGCTTGGAGGGGCTGCCTGCCTGCCTGGCTGTCTCAGTACTTGAATTCTGTCTTGTTTTCTATACCAGTTGCTCCAGCTAGTGTCTGATTTGGTGTCTTAATTTTGCCCTTGAATGTGGATGCAGCGGTGTGTGAAAGGCAATCGAGGCAAGAACCTGAGTGTCCTGCATAGTGTGACTGCAGGTCTGGGCCTCCAGGAAAACTAGCTGTGTGGCTTTTGTTTAGAGCCCAGAGGAAGGTAGAAGGAAGGGTCTATGAGGGACTGGCAAGCTAGCAGGGACTGTCCCCTCCAGGGACTGTGGGGTGCCTGGTGCTACCTGGTTCAACAGCAGGAACCTCCTGTGTCCAGTGCTACCCCTGTCCTGCCCTGCCCCACCCCATCCCATTGTGCCCTGCTTGGGTTCTCCAAAGGTGGTCATTCGTAGCTGAAGTAGAAATGGCAGATGGCCCACCAACCAGCTGAACACTCTTAGAATCTGTTTGCTGTGGATCCCAAATTGGAATGGTGAGCATGCAACATCTCAACTTTAGCCACAGCTGCTATGGGTTCTGCGTGATATCAGCCATCCCAGCCTGTGCTGCTGAAGAAGGGCTTGGTACAAAGTGTTGTAAGAATGGCAAAGGTGTTTGCTTTTGTTTTGTTTTGTTTTCCTAGAAAAGGAAAAGGATGCAGGACCTAAAGCATTCTGGTTGAGTAGCCTCTACTTGTGTCCCATCAGTCGCCTCGTTGCATCGTTGCAAGTGTTTTGCACACGATTGTGATTTTTATGTCAAAAGAAGCCAAAATTTGCAATACTATTTTTAGCAGACAAAAAGAGAAAAAAGTATCAAATGTATAAATATTTTTGACTTGAATGCTCTGGGTGGCTGTGGGTACAAGGAGAACATTCGTCCCTTCAGTGGGATGTTTGGAGAAAAGGACCTAAGAGAGGATTGTTTTGAAGGCACTGTCTAGGGGTTAAAGTAGCATCATAACTCATGACTGTTAGAAAATAAGTTAATAAAATCAGTTGCTCCCCTACCTCTAAGGAGGGCTTCACAGAACCACTGAGCTAGAGCAGATGCCACATCTTGGCTTCCTTTTGTTTTGGAGAGGAGGAGGCCTTTGTTTTGTCCCTCCAGCATCCTCCTCTCTTTCTGTGCTGTGACCCCGTAGTGACAAGACTGTTACTTTGTAGCCATGGCTGACAACATTGTATCAATAACTAAAACCACGGCAATTGTGGGCAAGCTGACCAGGGAAACCCAAGAGCTATGAGCCTGTGCTCAGAGCTGTTTCAGAGGTGGAAGTCCATGACAAACAAAAGGATGTCATCATTAATTGTAAAGCGCTTTGTAAAATTCACATTTACAGAATAATAAAGTCAATTCAAACCCAGCTTTTCCGGACGTTGCTTGAGCAGTGGGATTGGGGTGAGAGGTCCTGGGAGGGAAGCCAGGAAGAGGTTTGACTGTGGAAGAACACAGAGCTACCTGACCCCAAAAGTCCCTGTTTGAGTGATTACAGGAGTGTGCCACTGCCTAGCTTGAGTCCTGATTTTATTCAACTTCTTGTCAACAAAGTGGCTCTTCCTCTTCACCTAGCCCACCCGCCTGTCCTCTTCTGGATGTGTGGCTCCTTCTGTCCCCTCCCCTTGGCCAGGCCTGCCCCCAAGTGGGCAGAAGGGCAACTACATGTGGGTGGAGCTTATCCAGACTGAGCTGGGCTTCTGGGGTTTGGCCTGGCAGCTGGTCTCCCATGTTCCTCACTGTCTTGTCTTCAAGAACTTGCTGGGCTCAGCCTGGGCTCTGAGGGGATGAGCAGTCATCTGGCTTTAATGTGACCTCTGAAGAGAGTCCTAGAAGCAGCCTCCGGGGTCTTACCTTGAACCCTGGCTATGTGCATTCCACTCTAAAAGATGACCACTCCTGATGGGTGGTGGTGGTGCCCACCTTTAATCCCAGCACTTGGAAAGCAGAAGAAGTTGGATCTCTGAGTTCCAGGCCAGCCTGGTCTACAGCACTAGTTCCAGGACAGTTAGGGCTGTTACACAGAGAAGCCCAGTCTCAAAAAAACCAAAAACCAAACCAAACAAAAAGCCACTCCCAAACCCCATGGCTGGCTCAATGTTTTTACACCCTGTGAGGGTTTCCCCAGGACCACTTCTGGTCACCTGATAGGAGTCCATCCCAGTCTCTGGCTCCCCCTTTTTTTTGGGGGGGGGGCATTTCGAGACAGGGTTTCTCTGTATAGCTTTGGAACCTGTCCTGGAACTTGCTCTGTAGACCAGGCTGGCCTTGAACTTACAGAAATCTGCCTCCCTTTGTCTCCCGAGTGCTTCAATTAAAGGCGTGAGCCACCAACACCCGATTTCTGGTTCCCTTTTCATAGGCTTTAATACCACCTGCTAGCCAGGCAGTGGTGGCTCACACCTTTGATCACAGCACTTCAAAGGCAGAAGAAGGCAGATCTGAGTTTGAGGCCAGCCTGGTCTACAAAGGGAGTTCTACGACAACCAGGGCTATTACACAGAGAAACCTTGTCTCAAAAAACAAAAAGATGGACAGTAGCTGGACAGTGGTAGCACACACAACTTTAATCCCAGGATTTAGGAGGCAGAGGCAGTCGAATCTCTGAGTTCAAGGCCAGCCTGATCTTCGGATCCAGTTCCAAGTAGCCAGGACTACACAGAAAAACCCTATCTCAACCCCCCCACACCTCAAAAAAAAAAAAATGTGGACAGTGGTCCAGAGGGTTTGAGGTAGGGTCATCCAGACCCATCTTCTATGGGAACCACAATACCACACCCTGCCCCCATCAAAATGTCCAAGGGACAAGGTCACAGATATGAGATGAGCACGGAGCCTTCACATCTTACCATCAAGCTCAGCTCGGACTGGAGTCAGTGGGTCCATGCCCACCTTCTAGGAGGGGACTCTTAGAGACACTTTCCCCTCTGGCTCTAAAATCCCCACCCCTGCTGCCACTACCACCACCTAACGTTCATCCACTTGGATTGGTGGATTCTTAGCCATGCACCCTGGCTGTCAAGGAACTGGAAGGGGCTATTGGCTGCATAGCCAGAAGGCCCCAAGACCCCCACCCAGAAGGAATGCCAAGGCCCCCGGCCACCAGATGATCTCATGGGGGTCAGGGAGTATTGGTGTGAGGCAGGTTTTGTCTTATCAGGAATTAGCCGCTCGGTGCATGCCAAGTGCCAGAGTCATCCTGGCTTTCTGAGGAAGCTGTGAAGTTGTCACCAGGGATACATCCTCAAACCTGCCCCTGCCATGACCCTGTGACCTTGAAGCCTCTGACAAAATGTAGCTATGCTCAGAAAATGTGGGTCAGCGTCTTGCATTTGAGCACAGACCCTTCAATTCCTTTCTTTGTCCTGTGGTAAGGAGGAAAATGCTGCATCAGCAGGCCCCTGGCTTTGTCCAGCTTTTATGATCCAGCAGGGAGGCCTGCAGAGGGTGGCCATGGGGGGACATGATAAACTCATTTAAGCCACGTACTCCTGCATTGCTTGCAGGAGGACCAGCCCCCTCCCTGCCACTCTAAGAGGGGCCTGAATGTAGCTTTGGACAGAGCTGGACCCACCAAGGTGGAAGTATTCTGTTTCGGCCATCACAACTCTGCCTGTGGAAAGTCATGGGCCACTTGTCAAGGGACCCGCACAAAGGAGAGGGGAGCAATGAGAGCCGTGCAACAGGCAGGACCCCTTTCCCTTTTATCCGGTTAGGACAAAGGGGCTTCAGAGCTAGAGTAGAGCTCTGCTGCAGCAGCAGGAGGGACAGGCCCGTCTCGTCCACTCTGCCCTAAAGATGCAGCTCCCAACCCCCAAAGGTCACCTGGGTCCCCACAGGCTTCTGTAGAAGGGCTAAGGGGAGGAGGTGGATTCAAGGACCTAGGACTGGCAGCAGAGGGGCCTGGAGAGGCTGTCTATGCCCCTACAGAAGTACAAAACTACCACATTGGTGTGGTTGGTGGGGGGGGGGGGGGGGGGGGGGGGGGGGGGGGGGGGGGCACTAGAGCTAGAATGGGACCAAAGAGACCAGGCCCAGAGGATATGCAGCAGGTCCATTGCTGGCTAGGAGGGTTCAGTGGCCAGGTGACTTGGGGGTTGGGGGATTCCGTAAGAGCCAGCAGGGGCACTGAGCTAGAACTCCTCCCACCCTTGGACTCACCAAGAAGCTGGTGCTAGTCTTCCCATATCCTTAACTGATAGATGGACAGGAGGAAGACAGAATCCCAGCAACGTAGACTGCCTCCTCTGGGACCAGGGCGGCTATCTACACAGGGTTGGGATAGAGCAGGGGGAGGGGCAGGGAGGCAGGATTTCTATGTAGGGTGTCTCCAGTAGGTATGTGGTTCTACCCTGGAGTGCCTCAGGAACAGACATCATCTCAGGAGGGTTAGTGAGTGGGCAAAGGTGATGGTTCCAAGCTTGATGCCCTGAATTCAATCCCTGGACTCCACATAGTGGAAGTAGAGAACTGACCCCTGCAGGTTATCCTGACTCCCCCCCCCCTCAAGAAATGTAACTAAAAATATATCACACCCAGGTGGTAGTGGCGGCGGCAGCAGCAGCACACGCCTTTAATCCCAGCACTCAGGTGGCAGAGGCAGACAGATCTCTGTTGAGTTTGAGACCAGTCTGGTCTACAGAGCAAGTTCCAGGACAGGCTCCAAAGCTACCCTGTCTTGAAAAACTAAACAAAAAAAAATTGTCACTCTAAGAATACAAGTCTAGTAAACAAGGAGGACCCTAACAGAGACATACATGGTCCCCTGAAGAAGGGGAAAGGGTCAAGATCTTCTGAGCAAATTGAGAGCATGAGAAGGGGGGGGGGCTAAGAGAATGATAAGGGGAGAAGAGGAGGGGTGAGGAGCACATGAGGGAGCAGAAAGGTTTAGTCGGGGGAAGAATTGAAGAAAACAAGAATGGAGATAACATAATAGAGGGAGACATTTTAGAGTTACAGAGAAATCAGACACTAGGGAAATGTCTGGAGATCTACAAAGATGACACCAGCTAACAATCTGGTTAGCTGGTGAGGAGAGGCTACCTTAAATGCCCTCCCCTGATAATGAGATTGATGATTGTCTTATATGCCACCCTATAGCCCTCATCCAGTAGCTGGTGGAAGTAGAAGCAGACACCCACAACTACTCACTGAACTGAACTGGAATCCAGATGCAGAGAAGGACGAGTGAAGAGCAAAGGGGTCCAGACCAGGCTGGTGAAACTCACAGAAACAGCTGACCTGAACATCGGGGAGCTCTTGGTCCCCAGACTGATAGCTGGGATACCAGCATGGGACTGAGGGACTGATCCAGACCCCAGGAACATGAGTTTCAGTGAGGAAACCTCGGAAACCTACGGGACCTCCTGTAGTAGTTCAGTACTTATCCCTAGCATAGGTGTGGACTTTGGGAGCCCAATCCGAATGCAGGGATACTCCCTGAGCCAAGACACATGGGGGTGTGCCTAGGCCCTATCCCAAAGGACACGATAAACTCTTATGACACCCTATGGAAGGCCTCACCTTCCAGGGGGAGCAGAAAGGATATGTGATAGGTAGGGTTTTAGTTGGGGGGGGGGTTGTAGGGGAGGAGAGGAGGGAGAGGGAACTGGGATTGACATGTAAAACAATCTTGTTTCTAACTCAAAGAAAAAAAAAAGAATACAAGTCATCCCAGAAGCAGCCAGTCATGGCCCTCTGGTCTTTTTTATCAGCATGCATGAATTACAATTACTGATGAGTTTTATGGCATTTTCATACATATACATAGTGTATTCTGATGCACCCACCACCCTCTCTTCTCTTCATACTCCCACAGATTCCCTTCTTTCCAAGTAGTCCCCTTCTACTCTATGCCTTGTGTGTATATGTGACCTGCTGAGTTTTGTTGGGGCTGCTCACAGAGACAGGCGAGGAGGCAGGAAACATGGCTCAGCAGTTAAGAGCATTGGCTGCTTTTCCAGAGGATCTGGGTTTGGTTCCCAGCACCCAGCTGTCAGGTCACATCCATTCAGTGTCCAGAGGATCCAATGGCCTCTTCTGGCCTCTGCATGCACTGTACCCATGTAGACAAAACATCCATACCTGCAAAATAAAAATAAACGTTAAAAAATGAAACAAAACAACGGAGACATGCATGAAAGGCTATTTACAAGAGCATAGGTAAGTGAGTCAGTCATGGGAGGACATGTCCTAGGGGACTTCACTGAAATGATGTCCCCAGAGTCCTCTGATTCATAGAGACAGATGACAGGAAGTTGGTGTCAGGGTCTGGGTTGGCTGAGAAGTCAGTGTTAGTGGGGACTTGGGGTCTGTTTGGGAGGATAAGGGATCTCTAGATGGATGGTGGCAGTGGCTGCACAGATGTGT